GAGAGATCAGGGCTGCATTCCATTTTATTCATGATTGTCGGTACCCTTGTACGTGTTGGAGTCGTCAGCATCACCTTGGCTGGCTGGGGGCATTGGAACCGGGTATTGAATAGCGAGGACTGTTCACTGCCTATCTGTGACAACGTCCAAATTGTCTCAGGAGTTATTTGGTGGAGTGAACTTAGTATGGCGCTGGTGCTCGACAGTGCCCAATTTATGAAGAAGCAGCTGCGATTTTTCCGAATCGCGCTGGTTGACTACGTTGACGGCAAACATGTTTTCGTACAGCTTATACTACGAACTGAAGGTCACAAGGGTGCTGTGATCCTATAGGAATTTCGTGATGCTGCTAATGCTATGATCTACCGGCGGAAGCTGAGTGAATGGGCGAACCGAAAAGTTGGCTCGCTAGAATTGAATTGCTGCAGCAGCATCAGATTTGAGTCAGCGTGTTTATCTACCATGGTTCGAAACACACACCACCGTCATTTTTTGTGCCAGCTTAGTTGTAATGACCGGAACGAACGTCACTGTCTTTTCGGACTGAATTCCACATACGCGAGACGAGTAATTGTCTCATGACACATCCGGACCCAAGAGAGGGAAAATAAGACTGGTCTTCAGCAGAAGTCGTTTTACGGTCCGTCACAAGACGAGTACAATTTTGTGAATCCTCATTTATATACCAAGGTTGGTAATATACATACATTTCACACAGAACAGTATGGACAGCTTCTGATGCGAGGAAAACTGTAGCGATGGTTCACTTGACTGTAAATGCTTGCGTCAAAAGTGGGTAAGACGCGGACATGGGTTGTGTTCTCATGACGCTTTCCCTTTAGTCACTCGCCTCGCGTATTATTTGCGGGTGACCTGAAGATTTGGAGCATTATTGATTCTCCCACCGACTGTGACGTCCTTCAGCAGGACCTCGACCGCCTATCTGGGGGGTCTGCGGAAGTCGACCTACCGGTCAGCACGTCCAAGTCCTCGTTTGTGAGCCTGCAGAGGGGTAGTAATGGGCGTGCGTACACCCTGGCCGGTCACCCGCTGCATCCCACCAGTTCTGTTAAGAATCTAGGCGTACTTGCGCCATGATCTGAAGCCTGTCGACAACACGAACAGACTGTACACAAACGGACTACGCTTGCTTTGGGCACTTAGACGCGGCTGCTGCACTTGATCACCATGTTTCGAGCGTCGAGTGGTGAAATATTGGAACAAATTATCGAAGATGCTTGTCGAGGCGAAATTGGTGTCGGAATTTAAGAGATTCCTTGACGCCCGCTTTGCTGACTACTGGTATAGGGAGCGTATCGCTCCCGGATAAGATGTAGTGCAGCTGCAATATGCTGCCACCGCTCAGAAATGCTAATGCTATGGTCTGCCGCCGGAAGCTGAGTGAATGGGCAAACCGAAAAGTTGGCTCGCTAGATGGACACCATTTTGAATTGCTGCAGCAGCATCAGATTTGAGTCAGCGTGTTTATCTATCATGGTTCGAAACACACACCACCGTCATTTTTTGTGCCAGCTTAATTGTAATGACCGGAACGAACGTCACTGTCTTTTCGGACGTAATTCCACATATGCGAGACAAGTAATTGTCTCATGACACATCCGGACCCAAGAGAGGGAAAATAAGTGACATGATTCTGCGCATGTGCCCGATCCACCTATGATGGAGTAACTGGATACTGAATACTGGTTACAAGCAGCAAGTAGAGTTTGCTCTGTGTAGCTGCATCAGTCGTCACTCATGTACAAATACCCGTTATGTTGTGTACCGCTCAATATATTTTGCGTCGAAAGTGTTCGTCAAGTAACTTCTTAAATTCCGACACTGACTTTGCCTCAAATACGTGCTGCGGCTCGTCGTTCCATACATTCACTACTCTGCGTTCGAAACAGAGTTGATGAGCGACCCGCTTCAAATCCTGTACGACCAGGTTATACCGGTGTCCTCGTGTGCTGCTTGGTATGCGCAGATGAAGCAGCGGCCTCAACATTGGGTAATCACCCAGATGTAATATCCAGTGCGTCATGATGAGGTCAACCATCATTCGACGATAAGCTAGGGTGTACAGCCCTAGTTTCTTAAACCGGTCATCGTACGGTTCACGTCGTATATTGGGAATCAGCCTGGTGGCTACATGCTGCACTCGCTCAAGCTTTTCTACCTCGCCCCGGGTGATAGGACAATGCGCGAGAGAGCCATACTCTAGCGTTGGTCGTATTATTGAAACGAAGAGGCGAGAGGCAATCTCTTCGGACGAAGTGATGAAGCTGCGCCTGAGCGCCCAACGCATCCGAAGGCTGTTTTGGCAAATCCTATTCGTGTTGTCCATGGACTTTTGGTCGTATCGTTAGAGTACACCGAGGTCGCGCACGAAAGGCGCGGGATGCAACGGTTGACCAGACACCGTGTAGGTTCGACAGTGCTCACACTTACCCAGCCTCATGAATTGTGACTTGACCGGGTTGATCGGAAGGTTGACCTCTGCAGACCACGTGGAGAGGCGGTCGAGGTCCTGCTGAAGCAAATCACAATAATTGGGTGTTCGGATTACTCTCCACACCTTCAAGTCATCTGCGAACAACACACAAGGGGATTGGGGTAGCTGAGGCACATCGTTTACATGGACCAGAAACAATATCGGCCCCAGTACAGTGCCTTGGGGCACGCCGTCGCTCGATGGATACCAGTCGGTTAGCTAGTTGTCCACCTGGACCCTCCACTTTCGATCAACAAGGAAATTTCTGATCCATTGGTGCAGCGAACCACTAACACCGCACATCCTCAGCCTGTCGAGGAGCACTGCATGATTTACCTTGTCAGAAGCCTTACTGAATTCAATGTAAATGACGTCGATTGATTTGCCTTGGTTCAGCGCTTGTAACCATTCGTGCTTCGTCAACAGTAGGTTAATGATGCACGAGCGACCTTTCACGAAACCATGCTGTTCGGGCGCCAAGAGGCTTTTTGACTCGAGAAGCTGCAGTAGGCTCTTCTTCACGATCTTCTCGAGCGTCTTTGCTAAAACAGCAGTCAGGCAGATCGACCGGTAGTTATCCACTTTGCTTGTGTTACCACCTTTCGGTATGGGCTTTACGACTGAGCATTTCCAGTAGCCCGGTAATAGTCCAGTGGATATTGACCTGTTGAACAGTTCAGTTACAGAAAGCGCGATGATGGCCGATAGGGACTTGAGAATCAGTGGGTGGATTCCATCTGGCCCAGTAGGCTTCGTCCCGTCAGGATTTGCTAGAAGCTTGCGTACATCTTCAATACTGCTGTCTAGGCTGTCAAGTTCAGCGGGAGCGGTACTCGTCAAACTCGTTACAGGCGCCTGGTCACTTGCAAATACGGAGGCGAAGTGCGCCGCCAATGCGGACGCACGGTCTGTACTCGAGGTTAGGGGATGGTGATGACGAGGATGATGCTGCTGCTGATGATGAGGATTATGATGATGAGGATTATGATGACGAGGATATTGATGATGAGGAGGATGATTGTGATGTTGATGGTGATGATGACTATCTTTCATTCGCTGTCATCTACGGCGCTGCGTATATTAATGCAAAGCAGAGCGACTGAAGGATTATTTGTTCGGATTCACCGCAGTGTCTGTCTCGGCTTAACTAGGTAAAAACCATTCGCCCACATCTCACCTATTTCTGTCGTTTGTGCATCAATTCAGGTAAAATCCTCTTCTTCTGATATCGCGACTTTCATAGAACTATCTCCACTCCTTGTGCCATGTGATACATCCATTGAGATCCAATTCTCTTTATTCATAATCTGCAGGATCCCATCTTTTCCGATCTCAACACACTCACTGGTCCCTCACTACACCTATTTTTCCAACTTGTTGGAGCTTCTATTACTTTGAGATGTCCTGTAGCGTCGAGCCAACCCATTAAGTGACGCATTCCCTCAGCACTATTCCAATTCTTCAATTCATTCGCTTTCCTCCCTTTTCGATTATGGTGAATATCAGACATGTAACGCACCAAGAGAAAACTTAACTTTTACGTGCAATTTCATTACTGGTCGATTGTACAATAGTCGTTCATGTTTTACTACTTCCCATCCTCCGTCCATATCCTCTCTCACCAACCCGCTCGCACAGTTACTGCGCTGACTTCCGCTGCTGTTCACTTCATCCGTCCCAGTCTTTTGTAGCTCCTCAAATATAGTCCGCTCTATTCGCTTTCATTTGCCCTCCGATACTTGTACTCGATTACGCACCTTGGTCAAGGTTAGTGTTCGATAGTCCCATAGGCCTTATCGGCTACAACCTAAGACATCCCCTCCTACTCTGACAAAGGTATCCTCCATCACTGTCATCTCCAGCAACCCTCCACTGATGATGCTTGTAGTTTCTCACCTAATATTCTGGCTTCCAGACTCCTACGTTGTGCCCGCACGTAATGTACGTTCCATATGCCACAGATTACTTTTGCAATGTCCGTTAGATGCTTAAGCTCGAAGGGATACCCTGTCCGCTGCACGTCAATAACATTCAAATCACCGGATAGTTCGCCACGTTGTATCGCATCTAATAGCAGTCATATCAGCCGTTGCTTTACCTCGAGGCTGAATCGTCCTAATCATGAATTCTTAGGAATTGGATCTGGGGTTCTAGCCTCACAAGGTACAGATACTACCCACTGTGCGGGTGAAGCGGCCGTCCAATGCTTCCCCGGACATGTGAAGACTGTCCGAATGCATTTAGATGTGATGTACTGTTTAGATCATCTATCGCTTCCTTGTACCTTATATTTTATCTTCAACTCCGTTTCCCTTCTTTACCCTGCATTATCACGTATAATTTATTTGTTGCTTTGTTTGCGAAGTCATTAGTCAGCGAATATTGCTACTAATGCAGTAAGGAATGACGTGCCCCATGTTTCTATCCACTAATCAGTCAAATACGTTTTATTGCTCACGAGGTACTCTCTGTTGCCTTTTTACCATTTTCCGATGTATTCGTTTCAGGTTTTGAACGTATCAGATTATCATCTGTCAAATTGACTTACAATGCGTAGCATGGTACGTTCCGAACAGTTTTGTTATAGATGCCTGTTCTTAGTTGGAGGACATATACAACTTTTCCAAAGTATTCTTGTTGAGGTACCTCGATCGACTCTACCAATTCGACCCAATCACTCTCTTGGTAACCACAGGGCTCGTCGTTTGCGCACTTGTTCAGACTGGTAGGTCCCCTTTTATTGACAATTCACGTTCAGCATCTTTTGATATTAAGTTTCTATTCTTCACGTTCCTTCGAAAATGTCCCGGTTTACGGGAAGTTGTTCGCCAAAGAATAAACAAGGCCATTGCGGATGTTCATGATTCTGTCCACAAAAATTCCAGAATTGAATACGAAAAATGTCTGCCACTAGACGGGTTGCCCACAGTTCGCCCCATTTTATCTTTTTGTCACCATCTTAGGACAAAATTATGCAAAAAATACGCAGGTACAAGGCTTGTGGTACGTTTGAAACACGCTCGCATATTTATCTGCACAGAATACATCCGATGGACCGAGGGTTATGCATCCGGAAGTGTTTATCCAAGAAGTACATCTTTAGAGGATTTGTCCTCCAGAGTATGTCCATCCAGATGGCTATTTCCATTTTTGTCTTACATCATTATCTTACTACAGTTTAGAGCCCACTCAATACTACTAACACTACAACCAGGACGTCCGGCTGACTCCCCTCTACTCAGGCTTAATTAGCCTTTTGTTCCAGCTGCTCATACTCGTGCACCGGTGTGATCGTTTTGGATATCTGTCTTTTTCCTTTCCATTTCCAGTAACCTGTTGTTGTGTCCTCAATTTTCGCTGCTATTATCCTAACTAATAAGCCGGCTAAAGAATACTTTGGCATTCCATGTAATTGTTGATTTGATCAATTCCTGGGATCCTGCGTCCTGTTCATCTTCACCAACATCATCAACGACACCAGTACAACAGTAGTTAGTCTTGACGCTTCGCTACCAAACAACCATAATTACCTTATTAGGGAAAGTTTACAAAAAAGGCGCTCACGCTCTACCAACACACACACACATGACAGCTGTCGGGTGGCAGTACGGTATCACTGGTAAAACAGCTTCTTTGCTTTTTTCACTGCTCCTCGTCATTGTCGACAGTAACCTGCAGATAACTCAATAACACACTCCATACAGGCATCTCGATTCGACGACTAACCGATTTGCACAGGCCTGGTTGCGTTAGCTTAAACTAGTTACGCGTAACCTGAGAACGGACCCTGTTCACCAGCATATTCGGGTGACACACTGAGTCCTCGAAAACAGACAACGACACGCACACGACTGGGGAAATTCGACGCGCGAAGCTTAGACGCACGCGGAACACATGTCTAGAGCTGCGCACACGATCAAGTGACCACGCGCTTCCCAACCACCGAAAAAAGAGACAAGACGAAGCGGACCTCTGGGAGCTCTTTTACGACCCAAAGGCCGAATCACAGTTGGAATAATACTTCATTTTGTGGGTGAATAAATCATCACGTCGGGCTAGTGGTTTATGAAAAACATTGTTCACTTTGGCCCAGTGGCTGGATCCTGCTACGTTGTGAGGAGGAATTGACCTCTGTTTAGCACAACCCACGGACTTTCGTTTGTGGCGCATTTTTAGGGGATACTTGATGTGCCCGCAACACTTCTCTTTGAAGGTAATATGTAGAGCATCTGACGAGGATTGACCTGGATGGATTTCGGTGATCTCCGGATTCTTCCTGTTCGTCGGTAAGGCGGGTTCTCCAGACGTAGCAGCGACTGGGTGGCTTCGACCGTGGTCTCCCGTTGTGTAGCCATTTTGAAGTCATTCAACAAGATGTGCAGTGGCAAGTGCACAGGAATACTGACTGACGTAGAGGTTTCTCCGTAGCGTGGTCGAAGTTGATTGCGATGGCGGACCCACTTATCATCACCCACGGAGACATCATGCAGCATATTACCTCGACGGACTGTGATTGTTGCTTTGATCAAGCCTTGATAACCTGCTCGATAGTCGCGAGCGTTTACCGGGGCTCCAACAACGAATTCATTGTGCTTGGCTCAGGTAGTGGATTGACTTGGTGGCTTTTCGGTCGGGATGAACGCTTCGTTAGTGGTGCGTATCTTGTGGCCCATCAATGTTTCAGCCTGAGACTGGCATTATGGAACAGCTGGATTTGGTGTGGACTGGTAAGAATGCAAGGACACTTGAAGGCGTTCATCAACGGTCCTTTCCCCACGAGATTTCAAGAGTCTCGTCTTGAAGGTGTCGACAAACCTCTCTGCTTGACCGTTGGACTGCGGATACTAGGGCGGTGAGCGTAGGTGTTTGGTGCAATCCTGGCGACAATAGTCTTCGACCATGGAAGACACAAACTAGGAGCCATTGTCGGACACCAAAAACGTCGGGATGGCCATTTTGACTTAAGATTCGTTGTAGACAACCCAGCATAGTGGTTGATGGGTTGACGGCGACCACTTCATGCCATTTGGAATAGGCGTCGACGACAACCAGGTTGGAAATGCCATCGATCGGATTAGCATATTCGATATGCACCCGGCTGCCAAGGAACTGTTGGTTGGGGTGACGGCATCTTGGCTGCTTGTTAACCACTTGAACAACAGCGAACCAAATCTTTCATGTCGTTGTCAATACCGGGCCAGTAATAACTGCGGGCGATGGTCTTCGTTCTCTTCATACTGGGATGAGCAGAATGGAGCTGGCGGAGTACAGTTTCCTGGGGGTATGCAGGAACGACAACTCGGTCTGCAGTCATGAGGCAGGGTTGGGCCACAGAAAAGGAGTCGCGGCGTTGATACAGTTGTTTCAGTTCGCCAGAAAAAGCAGTGTTTGGCCAGCTCGTCTGAACGTGACGGCTTTCTGCAGGACAGGGTCTTGAGCAGTTGCACGACGTATGTCGGCGGCAGTAATGGGGTGACTTTGGATAGCGTTCGAGAGTTGATGACGAACGTCTTCCTCAAAGATAACAGCGGCTGTTACTGTGTCTTTTGTGGTTTAGCTGGCAATGAGGCAAAAGAGTCCGTTAGCTTGACCGAACTCCTAAGTATGACAGTAGCGGATTTTAAAGTATTAACTAAGAAGGATGACAGCCCAACACTGAAGTCGGCTAGCTGAGTATGCTGGAATGCCTTTCTTTGAACCGAAGCTCGAAAGTAGTGGCTTGTGATCGTTTACTAGCGTGAACCACCGGCCATACAGCATCTTGTGGAACTTAGTGACTGTAAACACGATAACCAGGGCTTCCTTCTCAATCTGACCATAGTTCTTCGTGGGCGCCAGGGTACGTGAGACGTGCATAACCGCTTTTTCGGAACCTTTTGGGAAGCGATGGGTAAGAACTGCTCTTATCCAGTAGGCAGATGCATCAGCGACGACCAAAATCGGCAAGGTTTGGTCGTAATGGGTCAGCAGTGGGTCAGAACTCAGTATGGATTTCAGACGAACGAATGCGTTCTCGCATGCGGGGGACCAGTGTCAAGGAACGTCCTTCTGCAACAACCGATTGAGCGGGGGTTAAACATCGTATAGCGATGGCAGTAAGGCGCTTTAGTAACTGATGAGACCCAGGAAGGACCGCAGCTGTGACACATCCGTTGGAGCTGACATCTGCCGGATGGTTCTGAGGTTCTCAGGATCAGGATGACGTTCACTGACTTGGAAAACGAAACCAAGGTCTTTGATCGATGGAAAGAAGACTTGACATTTCTCGGCTTCCAAGCGTAAACCACACTCCTGGGCACGCTGAAAGACCGCAACCAGGCACTCTTGAAGCTCTTCTGGGCTGCAACAAACAATGAGTAGATCGTCCAGGTACGCGGCCATACCCGATATGCCAAAGATCATGGCGTCCATCGTCTGTTGGAAAACGGCCGGAGCGGTTTTGACATCAAATGGGAGCCTGGTGTACTGGAGAAAACCAAGATATGTGTTGGTCGTCAACAAGGATTGTGACTCAGGAGTGGTTTCGATCTGCAGCTAGGCGTCTGCCAAGTCGATTTTAGCGAAACACTTACCACCATTGAGTATTATGAATAGGTCGACTGGGATCGGTAGTGGGTAGAAATTTGGCTCTAGCGCAGCATTGAGACCGGTGGAGCAATCAACACAGATGCGGGGGGATCCATTCGGCTTCTTGACCACGACGATCGGCGCTGTCCAGGCGGAATAGGGCACAAACACCAGGACGCCCATGTCTTCCAAACATTGGAGTTCAGCATCGACAAAGGGTAGGGCTGCGTATGGGACAGGCTTTTGTGACAGAATACCAGTTGAGACCCTGGTACGATCTGTAACGCGGCGCGCGTACGTGTACAGCGGCCAAAACCATCCTGGAACACCGGAGCGAACTGTCTGATGACGTCGTCGGTTCGATCGCTTGGTACTGCCGGAGTATATACCGCGTCGCAGATGGCCCGAAGTGGGAGATCGGCTAAGCCATGGGTTTCAAGCCAGTCGAGATCAAGTACGTTGAGCTTCGCCTTCGTAATGTAGCAGATCCCGTTGTAGGTGGTGCGTCGGAAGGAGGCGGAGCAGTACAGCTGCCCAGTTAGCTGCACTCGACCACCACCCGCGCTATTCGCTGATTGGGAGGTTGGTCCGAATGGAGGCTTGCCAAGGGACCGCCCGAGATCCCCCGGAGATGATCGTGATATCCGACGCAGCGTTCAACTGCAATCGGACGGACTGATCGTTGACCAAGACGTCGACGAACTTTCTACGATCCACAGCGTTGACTTGGAATCTGGCCATCAGTCTCAGGGAGCTGCTAACCGGACGAAGTTTGGATTTTTGTCCGAGTCTGGACCTCTTTTTTGTGTCGCAAGTAGGGGCCAGCCCAGTTTTGGCCCTCTTCGGAGTTGTAGGATGACAGTAACCATCCTGGTGCCCCACCCCGCCACGTTGGCATCAGCACTGGCGAAAATTGCGGTCCGGGTGGAAGTACCAGGCATCACAGAATCGACACACATAGAGTGGGGACATCGCTCGGTTGGCTTGGGCAGGGCGCACTCACGTTTGTGCCTGGACCATACCAGGTGCGGCGGCGTTCTGGTTCATGGCAGAGTCATGCTTCGGGTTCAGCAGCGTGTGACACTCCTCGGCCAGGATCTTGAGTGTAACAGTAGTATCCTGTTATAGCTTGGATAAGAGGCGCATCTGGATATCGGCATCATGTGCAGACTACACCAGAGACAAAGCTCGGGCATTTGAATTGATCCTCTGTGAACGAACCAAGCTGAAAACGCTCACGTTCACGGTTGACCACGCCCGCTTACGTAATGAAATCGTCAGCATCACACTTGATCAGCTGCAGACATTGATAACAGGCATTTCAAAGCTAGGGCTGCTCACCCAGTCTGGGACAAGGATCGGACTGTTTCGTTGAAAGTAACGTCGCGTGGGTTCTTCGGCAAGATGAAATTGATATAGCGTTGGTGTTCGAGCGTACCGTTTGCGCAGAAGCAGTCGGACCTTCCATACGTCGTCCTGGCAGGCCAGCTTAACGGTGAACAGGTCCTAGTACAGCTTATTCCAAGAATCAGGAAATCAACCAGCAGCGTGGCGACGGCTCACGATTGCTTGTGTCTTCCGAACTACGGCTCCAGATGGAGCCCCTAGACTATCTGTTTATGGTTCACGATGTGCTACCTAAACACGGGACAGTCATCAGAAAGTCAATCCTTGTCCCGAAAACGCATGACTTTCGAGAATGAAACAAGACTGAACTTGCTAGCTATGTGACCTATTCTAGTAGCTGCTGTAAGGGGCCAGATAAGCTATTGGCACCCATTTTGCGTGAAAGCACAGTTACAATAAACGCTGACCGGTTTCCGCGCACTCGGAATTATGTACGAGTGTCTCACCATGGTTCATGACAGAAATGGTCTCTTAGGACATGTTCGACAACTACTAACATGCAACATCTGCTGCTACACCATACTTTATCCTTAGTTGGTGTCGCCAAGACCGTTGTTTATGAGTTTGCCTCGGTGGACAATAATTCCTTTAGTTTCATTTGTTGATTCTGCCCGCACTAAGATTGGTACGGTGGCCACGCGAGATTCGTAAGTTCTAGTGTCGCAGACGATGCACACTTCAACACTAAGGGTATCTGGTGTCTGTACAAATGAAGTCTGCTGATTTATCTTTTTTGGAATTCAACGTCATCCATTACGGTAGTAATTATCCAATGCATCCTGAAGTGCTTTTTGACGACAGCGAGGCTTGACTGCATTGATGGTACGATGCAACTTCCAGAACATCAGCAGGATCGTAGCTATCATCGGTCGCGCTATGGACCATGGATGAGAGGTTAGTGATTTGGATCGGGGATGTAAACGAAACAAGTGGAAAAGTGAGGAGATGTTGCGTTTTCGCGTATCCGTCCTGTTGCACATAGCAGATAAGGCGACGGCCGATGCGAGATAAAGCGGAGGTTAAGATAAAACTTCACGGTTATATGTATTCTCGGATTCTTCCATGGCACTTTATCCCAGGGGAGAACAATAGTGTCCACATCCAGTCTTTGGCTCCGTATAGTATGCGCAACGGACGAGGTGACTATCCACAGCTTGCACTTCTTTCACCTAAATAAGTGCCACCCCACTCACAAACCAGAAGGATCAAGAACCTGTGTTTGTTTGACGTCAAACCACTGACTAATTTGGTGGCTGTCAAGACAACCAGGAATGCCACCCAGAATAGGTCGATGGATCTGAGTGCTGAGCAAACCGCTGTACTTCCACCGGGTGCATTTTCGTTGCCATCGCCGCTACATTGGTGTGAACCACATGTTCCACTAATTTCCTCCCAGTTCTCTGCAACAGCATTCCCTGTGCACTTACTAGCCCCGCAAACTCGCTTGAGGTCTCAGATACTAAGCCATGCCAAACTGCTCTTGAACCTGGGTTTTAACCATACTGTTGTTTTAGCTTCCATCTTTTGCCTTGTCGCGATTACGAAAGCTACTGATCACCTAACGTGAGACAAGATAGATTGACGGTACTTGGAGATCGTACCCTCAACAGATAGCTCAATCACCAGTTACCTATAAGACGCCGATCACAGATTACTCTGATGGCACTGATGGTTGTGCATGTGCTTGCTCAGTAGACCTGATCCCTTCGCTTTTTCCTTATTTCTCATTGTGAATTATCACCCACAGCCCATCGAAACATGTAGACGCTCTTGAGCAGGTGACTAACTGCATCGGTATCATTCGCTCACCACATCACCATCTAGGTGATTCAGTTGATTTTCGCCCTAGGTGACAGCGTGTTTCGGTCAAGTGCGGTGCACTGGTTGTTTTTTACCACTTGAGGCCTCTACTTTCCATTATTCTTGTTCAAACCTCTTTTACCGCCATTGTGAATGCAAAACACCGTGCCACAGCACATTTTAGCAATGTTTTGCCAGATTCCTTATCCTACCGCTTCGCACTTGAATTGCATACTACCCGCCCATTCATTTGCCAAAACCGCCATCTGCCTATGCTCACCTTTTATAATTATATTGTCTTTGGTTCATTAATTGTTGTCACTCTGTTGTCAAACATCACCTCGTCTACCGCATTCCACGCAGAATTTTTGGAGAAATTGGGTTTTAACTTAGACCCAATCATAAAAAGTAACCCTCATTTGTTCCGTATCCCCCACGCAAATTATTACGTCGTTTATTATTCTTTCCTTTTCTCAGGTCTTCAAAGAGTTCATATGGACAAATCCTCTCCATCCGGATTTGTTTCCAGACATCCGCCGAATGGAGTCCGAGGTGGTTCGCATGTGTCTCGCGATGTTCCATGGAAACGAAGATGCTTGCGGTACAGTAAGCTAAAAGCTATTAAATGGTTACATAATCCATCCTTCCCTGATCGAGCGTGTTTAGTTGTCATCAATCTCATGCTTTTCTACCGTCTACATTATGTTTTACGTCTTGTTGACCGACGCTAGCAAGTTCTACCTGCTTAGGGTCCTTAGGGCCTAGAAAGCCAGGTGATTCACACTCCAGGCCTAATTAATCCAAATACATCAAACGCCGACAACGTTCCCCGTGTCTCCTACACTTTACTACTCATTAATCTACCTACCGATGGGGTTAATATCAGCGTATTTTCGTCTAGAATCACTATCCACGCAGCGACATCACCGATGATGGCTTTTTGTTAACTGATCGACTTGCTTGGCACTGTGATACTGCTAGTTTCAGATCGTTTTTGTCAAAGTGATCATACAGGACTTATCAACTGAGAACCGGAGGCATTTCTCAAGTTTTTCATACCCTCAGTCTTCGTATCATCTCTGCTTAGCTGTTGGTACTCATTTTCAGCTTATTTCTTTGGTTTGACTGACCACTACGAACAGCCTGTCTTGCCTTCGTTGGCCCGCCAGCTTATGGTGTCATGCCAGTACGAATGTACCAAATTACATCGTCATTTTCTCTCTTTTCAGACTTCATCTGGTGGCACGGAAAGTATTATGTTGAGCTGTCTCGCCTATAGGGAACTGGCGCGCTCTAAAGGTATACGTCGACCTGTTATGTGAGTCATCTTTTTAAACAAACGAATCGGACCTCCCACTTTATTACATCCGGCTTCATTTCTTCCTCTGCCTCATGGTTTTTTGTTATTCGTTTTTGTCTTGCCGCCAAGCGGCCGGAAAATTAAACATCTGGCTTGCGAACCGCAGGTTTGCGTTGCTGCGTGGACGGCTTCACAGTGTCCTTATCCCGTACGCGACTGTTGGTGATCACCTGGCAGCGAAATGCCGATTCGAAGTACCAGCCTACTGCTAATTTCCGTTCGTTGGTTGATGTTTTTGGCTGGCCTTCGATCTCCTTCAAAGTCTTACTTCATTTCGACTATTCTGGATACCTTGTGCTAGCGTCCACCATTACCAGTAACACGAAATTGCAGTCCATTTTTGACATCCAGCGGACGATCGATAAACCGACGACAGCTTAGATTTGCCGTCCTCAGGGTATCTTTTCTTTCTTACTTTTGCGAATAACTCATCGAGTTTCGACGAGGCGATGGCTATCTTGGTTTACCTGCCGTTGCACACTTGCTCTTTTGTGTCTGGTGTTGGATTGTCTTTCGTTCCATCGATCATGCTTAGTGCTCTTAAGAAAGTGAGAGTTGTGCACTGCTTCAGCTACATCTTTATAAAAATCTCTCCAACCACCTTTGGACAAGAGTGCTTCCTCTCCTATGCGAGCTTTTCACTCACTCAAATCGCTGTTCATGTGAAGTTGACCTCCGATGGTTTGTTTCTCGCGAACCCGAGCACAAGGCTGGTTGTCGCGGCCAGTGACTGTCTTAAAGCATGCTTGAAACCCGTTCGCAATCTAACCTCAATCTCGCGATATTTCCTGTCTTCGAAGGAGTTTCCCTTCCAGACACTTGGAGGACGCCCTTGAAATATCTGATTGTACACTTCCGTAGTGGGCTTAATCTTTGAAATGTTTGTCTGAAAACGCCCTGCTTTCCGAATTCTCTATGCTTTGTTTTCAGAATTTCTTAAGCCTCTCCAAGCACCTAACCCTTGCTTTTAACCCAAAAAATTGGGGTTCTAGGTGCTGTTTTCTCTGTTTTTTAATAACATTATTTGTCGGTTCGGCGGAATCGAATCATTTGGCTTTGCGTTATCCAGGGTAGCACAGCACTTCTCCGTAATTACGCTTACAGTAACCTATGTTGCATTCGGTGTGTCTACGCTCAAATGGAGCATTGAAATCCTTCACTAAACTGATCACACCGTTTAGCTTGACTCGAAGTTACTGAAACAACCCACAGCTCTTTGTCACGAGCAATCGATAAAACAGGGTTAGGCGCATTGGAACAACCTTGCATGCTCTGCTCAGTTCACCGCGAAATCACCATCTTCTGTTTTGACCATCTGCACATCGAACCAATGAATTTGATATTTCCATGGTTCAATTACTCTGCTTAGTGTCCAGCAACAGCGGACCAATGTTGTGCAGGCTTTCGATATCCGCACTAACCAAGCCAAAGACGTTGGCAAAACGGAGTTTCAATCGGCGACTGGTTTCTCTTTGACTTTCAGGATGTATGAACTTGGATCTCATTTACTGTCTAAACTCCGGTCGATGAACAGATTAACATATCATCATCATCAACAGCAGCAGAAGTAGCATTACAACAGCCAATTGGACTGATGCTTCGCTGCCGTACAACCACGGTAACCTAAGGAATGAAGAATATTAAGAGGGAGAGAAGAGGGACCTCTCATAAAACCTTAATGCTTTAAATAAACATTCATGGTTAAAGCGCCTGCACTTGGTCATCAACACATCACCACAAACAGAGAGCTATCATTCAAAAATAAGGCTGCATGGCGAAACAGGTTCCTTGCGGCTTTCACTCTCCCGCGTCATAGTCAGCCATTACCCCGCAGATGACAGCACCAACTGCAGGCAATCTTACTAGGAGGCGGTAGCAGTCGCGCCACTGGTGTCGACTACGAACTATATTCTGTAACTTCTCGAATCAAGGACAAGCTGAATCACGTGGACTCCAGGCTGGAAGGCGAGACAGACCAACAGCACCGAGTTTGGTCGTGAGTGGTTTCATTTCTCGTTGCCAAGTTCACTTTACTCTGCCTTCAGCCTTGCGCCACTCTACATCTGACAAACAAAACAACACTCCTCGGTTAGTGGTGACCGGGCACACGTAGTACCTACCCAAGCCAACACCACTTATTCACTGCTATTCAGTGCTATGCGTTGTTCTGAGGAACCAGCATGATTATCACTACCTAGCGCTCACCTACGCATATCATCGTTGCGGACACGGTGGTGCCATCGGGCACCAAGAACGCTTCGCAGACAACGATGATCAGAGACTTGTAGACGCCGCAGGTCTTCAGATCGAAGGGGCCAAGTCTCGTTCCCATAAAGTGTGACCTTTCAGATCAACGGAAACTCCTTTCTGACGCAAAAGATGTCGCAAATTCAAGACGACACTTCTAGCTTTTGCATTACTTAAATTGATTTCAGTGATTATGCACCCATCGTCGCTAATGCAGCTGCCAAAGTAAGTGAATTGATCAACTACCTCGATTTCCTCGCCAACAAGAGTTAAAGAGACATCAAGTGGCTGGTGATCCTGTAACAGCACTTTGCACTTTGCGTATGTCAGATGATGGGACATTATTGATAGGATGTTCGGCATTGACTGGGCCGCCTTAACATCGTTAAACAGCAAGACAATATCGTCCGCGCAATCAAGATAAACTAACTTTTCACCGTACAATGCCTCAGTGTCTGCCTCGTGAGATTCCATAAGGGAATACTCCATGATTGTGTCCACGACGAGGTTGAACAAAAATTGGAAAATTAGAGAACCCTGATGAATGCCATTTGTTTTCGGAAAGGCATCCAACAAGTCAGCGTAGGCTATGACGTTGCCTGTGATGTTCGAGTACAGGACACGCGAAATGTTCACATATTTCATTGGAACACCTTTCCACCCAGGTATTTCGAACAGAATACATCGATCGACTGAATCGAACGCACTCTTGAATTCAAGGATCACAGCTATTGTCGGTTTGTGGTACGTCTGGCGCTGCTCTTTTACATCCCTCAGAGTGAATATATGGTCTATACAGTCCTGTGCTGGGCGGCGGCATGCTTGTTGTTTCCTAATCCGCGATTCTCATTCTGCAGTGCGACGGCAAACGAGAATTGAGGCCAGTAATTCTGGAGTTTCGGGGTTCCTCTACTGTCACCCCCCAGATTGTTTTTTGCGTACGCTTCATTTTATTGACTGTTTCTCCTGGGCCTTCCAGTTCCACTGTCCTTTTTTCAGGGTCTTCATTTGTGTTCAAACGTCCCATATTTCACACCTAGCTAGACTAATTGTTTGATGTGATTTCTCATTCAGCATCGCCCCTGCATCCGTGCACGCAGCGTTTGACAAAGTGAGTATTATTTTCATATTGTTTGCTCCTATATCGCTTAGAGTACTATACGTATGTCTCTCCTGCGTTCGCGTAACCTCTGTTCCACGACATATTTGCCCTCACTTTTTCACTGTGCAATCTGGTTATATTGCCCGGGTTGGTCTGTATCATGTCCATGACTGGTTCCCTTCTCCTCACGTTGAGAAACTTGCGACTACCCATATACTTAAATGACAACTTCTGGTTATCCGAACGTTTGACCTTGAACACTTACATACACTGGTTTCACTGCCCACTCATATACTCGAAACAATCTCCACCATTTCTGATCACTAGGACATCACATCCTTTTCCACAAAACTCTACCAAACACACAACAATGTCCATCGCTTCACAACAAAATGAAGCATCTTTTTAGTAATATAGCTCTGAAGCTAAAATCCCGTCAGGCGATGACAATGAATGTTCATCATTGCCCTTCGATCATTGAAGTTGGTATAGGACATATAATCAAGTTAACGCAGTTCGTTGAACCTGCTTCCATCAACATAGCCCAGGTTGTCTGATGCGTCTTGTGCGGCTCTGCGGCAGCGACGCAGTCGTCTTGGCAAGTGGCTTAGTAGCCATGCTCATGTAAATTGTCCTTAACTCTGTTATTGGGTGAAGTAAAATAAACTCTATCACCCAGCTGTGGGGTTGGTTTGAGGCGCATCCCTAGGTTTTTTCCCGAACCCACTTTCAGTGCACCTCGGGCTTAGCAGGTAGGTCGTAACGGTTGTTGGCATCAGTTATTTCCTCGCGACCGTAAGGCGATATGACGCATGATGAAGTGCTTATTTTTATCCAATCCACTGAAAGCTACCTGGACAAACGGGGGTTGGAGATATGCGTACATGCGTACTCATACATGTGTTTGCGATGCTGCTGGTTGCACGCAAGTATTGTCGCTCTTTACAACTACTTCCCGGATTTCTGATTCACTTTCGACTCTGTTTTTACGCTTCTAGTAGTACCCTTGTTACTTCTACTAGTCTGTGTTGCATCACCGCGTTATTTTCCTCCTGATACCATTAACTGGTAAACGCTTTTACTCATCTCTTTCTCTCTCATAGTCGTCCCCACTCACCCACCGGTTAAGCCTCATCCGCCTTTGCCTTGTCTATTCACAGTCTCAATTCCAGGTGATCCGCAATCCCCAACCTTTCAATCAATCTGTTTTATCCAACTTCTCCTAATATTTAGCTTTGATATTAGACCTATAGGTTTCTTTATTAATCGCCATTTTCTATGTTGCTTACTTCTGTCATGTCGAAGAGCGCGTTGTTCCCCCCATGAAAACACATGGCTTCTCTTTCCCACTTTCTTCCACCATTCCCACACACTAGCCATACCGCTTTCATTGAAATCTTTTGATTCTAACAGGCTGCGCATTATTTCTCCATGGACTTGGTTCGAATCCCCGTGGTTCCTGGTTCGTTCAAGGCCGATGTGAATGCTATGCGTCGAGCGATCAACAAAAGTACATGCATGGTAGGTTTAAGTATGACTCTTTGTTTCGCGTTTACTCGAACCAGTCCCGCTACAGTAATGATGACACTTCTGCACACGCATGATCGTATTACTTTACTTAACTTGTTGGCTCTACCTATATTTATCCCTGCTGTCAACTTCTCCGTATTTTTTACTATCAACTGATAGAACACTCCGAAGCTCCTTTGTCAACTAATTTGAAAACTTGAAAAACTTTCTCCACGATACGTTTATCTTTATGTATTGTGGCACAATAGCTGAAGGGTGTTTCTCACTTTCAGCTTATGTATAGTAATAATAATAATAATAATAATAATAATAATGCGTGATCTGACCGCGTAGTCAGTGTCGCACTGTCGAGAAATATATCACTTACATAAATAAACAAAATTCGTATATTTACCGACAAGCGTAAGTGATCATTTGTACGATGAATAGGTTTCATGATTTATGCGACATGGTTGGCGGCATCCGGTTTCGAATTTGCCTGTCACTGTGGCAAGCCACAGGATGCCTGCGCCTTCGGAGGGACCATGGGTGGCTTGCGCTGCACCACCCACACACTCCATATCCAGTGTAAACCCGAATAAATAAGATCGGGAGGTATGTGGATGGGAGCCACGTTTCATCAACGGAGCCCGCCCACACTCCTTCACAGACAAACACAAACACGCTGTATTTGGGGAATCAAGCGCACACAAGGCGGTGGCTGGACCGTAGTCCGCTCCACACTGAGTGCATGGAACCACTCTTCCAGCGTAGCACGGATACAGGGCCGTGCACCACGTCCCTCCAGCAATGACCAACTGTCTCCTGGAGCCAACATGGACGATGTAGTAGGTAATAGACAGGTAGGCACCTGGTCAACATGCACATCAAGCGTAGCCACACCTGGGATGTCAAACAACAGCTTAGTATTCGAAATGCTAATATCATAGAAAATATATCGGATAAAGTAAACCTAGATGACGACATAAGTACTCGCTAAATTAGCATATGAAGTAAATTGGTTATAAGCGAATCCGCGGTAAGTATAAAATGTCCGAAAGTTATTTAAATATTATCACGTAATAAACTTACGCAAGGTTACCACAATTAGCGTGAGCGACGTGTGCAAGTTAGGAGAAAATGATCAAGTACGCAGAACAAAAAATATAAAGTGGAATGAATTTTATCCACATTAAAAAGACCTAGTAGTAGCATAAATTTAAACAATAGAATTTCGGACCATGAATTTTCTATCAGGTCCTGGACCCGCTCACCTAATATGTACAATGTGTCCATACTTGTATCGCTACTCTCTAGTTTGTGAGGCTCAGGAGTTGCTAATGATAGGAAGGCGAACCCAGATTGCACGGACACAGGAGTTGGTTTTGTAAGTAATGATATGAAGTGTGCAAACTGATTTTAAGCAATTAGGTGCTCATGTGTTATTCTTACCGGCTTTCTTCAATGTTTCTGAAGTTTGTTGTGAGTCAAAGATACTCAACGCATTTGATCTAGTAAGGAAAGTCTAGAGAATTTCGAAATATGACATGTATATCTGTAGGGTTACTTTGTTCCACAGATCGGTGTATCTCACTACGAAGAAATCCTATCGGGTTTTGTGACTTGCAAGCTTTATCTGTAGCGCAAGTAGCCGCCATTTCGTGTGGGGTAGACTGCAGTCTCTAGGTCTGGCTGCCCTTGCAGTATCTTAGACCACATACAACCATGACTTTTTCTTTGAACATAAACTTCATCGTGCATCGGCTGTCGCGCAGAATATCAAGGGTCACTTTATCTGCTGCATACAGCAGCACGGAGAAGCGGAAACACGCTACTGCTGGCGCCTCCCTTATTTCTTTTCCACCTATTTCTCTTACTTCCATCCCCATCGCCATTACTAACCTCTACGATAGTTCCCAGCTTAAATGACAGCAATCAGTGCCACTGGAGTAGAACCATAGGCAGCTATCTTCTCGCAACACGCACCGGACGCTTATCAGCAACAGTCCTTTATAAGGTCACACTGTCCCGTTGCCATGTCAACGCTCAACGTTCGCCCTCTAAGACAAACAGGTCAACAGCCTGCACTCGCACGCACTTTGGACACACTGGGTATTGATGTGTGTTGTGTGTCCGAAATTAGGATCAATGACCCTAATGGGGTTGTTGAATTAACTGCACCCGGTTTATTCTCCCGTTACTGGTTGCACGCATCCGGAGACGCCGATGCAGCACTCACGGCTCAAGCTGCTGTAGGTATCTTTCTAAGCTCCAAGGCTGAACCAGTGTTGGTTAATTGGATTCCGGTAAAACAGCCGTTTATATGCAGCCATTTTGGCGACATCAGATAAGGTTGATTCACGAAGTAGTAAAAAACGCGGTTTGTTTGTGATTTCCGCTTGTACTCCCACCGACTGCAGTTCTGACGCTGTCAAGAACATTCTATCACGAACTGAACGCGCTATTACACAGTGCTACTATTTCGGATATTATAGTACATGCAGGGGATATGAACGCACAAGTAGGGCTTATGAGCTTTTCAGAAGCTCAGCTGGTTGGTAATTATGGGCTTAACTCCGGACGGACTGACAACTGCGAGTGTCTGCAGCAACTGTATGCGTAGCACCAATTGTTTCGTAGTAGCATTGCTTTTAGACACAGTGGCCGCCGAAGTGCCACTTGACGTCCTCCTGTAGCTGGCCAGCGATGGACCCAAATTGACCACATAGCCGTAAGTTACAGGTGGCGTGATTCCATTCTGGACTCTCGCTCGTACTGAACTACCTGCATTGACTCTTATCAGGCCTAGTCACGCTGTCTTTTCTCGATGACCTTTATCGGGAGGTGCACCAAGCGTCTCCTCCGATTAGTAACAGAAGTTGTCTCAGTCCCCGGTCAGGCAAGCCTATCAAGAAGCACTGCATACCGAACTTTCGCTGTCTTGTCCTAATGACACTGAGCTTCAGTGAAATAGGATCTCGGCCGTCATACACGACGCAGGAGCATCTACTTGTGGCACTATCAATCGCCACCGCACCAGTCATTGGGTATCCGGGAGGTCGGTGAACCTGTTGGAATCCAGCAGAATCCTCCCGGCTGGCTCTGACCACAGTTTGACCAGACGGACTATAAGGCGCGAACTAAGGCGGAGCTTGCGTGTTAACCATAAAGCCTGGTGGACCAGTCGGGCTCAAAAAATGGAGGAGGCTGTAGCAGTAGGCAATTACCACAAGATATTCCAGCTGATCCGCACCAGTGATCCCATGAAACCAGGTGTCAGTGAAGCAATCAGAGACAACGCGGCTGCACTGATACACGGAGCGTCATGTGGCTCGTTGGGCGGAACATTTTCAAGATCAGTTCAGCTGGCTTCCTGCCTCCGGACCTCTTCCTACTCAGATGATGCAGGACGAACCATCGATGGTTAGTTTAGAGCCTCCGTCGGATGCCTAGGTCCGAAACGCGATCACAGCCCGTAATCGTTTTCGCGCCGCTGGCCCGGATTACATTGCACCTGCACTATTTCAGGATGGGGTGAGGTCCTCTGCATAGCACTGACCTCCCTATTCGAACATATCTGGAAGGAAGAGTGTCCCGGCTACCTGCAGTTAATCGATTATAGTGGCAATATACACGAAGGGTAGTCGCACAGACTGTGCTAACCACCGGGTTATTAGTCTAACGCCAGTTGTGACAAAATTACTGCCCTCGGTTCTCGTTCGCCGCCTCACTGTGGAACGGGAATCTCGGATTAGGGAAGAGCAGGTAGGTTTCCGCTCAGGACGTGGCTGTATAGACCATATATTCACTCTGCGGCAGGTACTAGAGCAGCACCACGCTTACCGCAGACCGACAATAGCTGTGTTCCTTGATTTCAAGAGTGCGTTCGATTTAGTCGATCGGTGAAATCTGTTCGAAATACTTGCGCGGAAAGACGTTCCAATGAATGATGTGAACATTTTACTTGCTCTACACAGGCCGCATCAGGATCTACGGTGATTTGTCGGATAGCTTTCCGACCACAGGTGGTGTTCGTCAGAATTATCCGATTTCCCCGTTTTTGTTCAGTTTTGTTGTGGACTCTATCACGAACTGTTCGCTTGCAGAATATTCGATGTAGGCGCTGAGATTTTGCATTTATTATGCGGACGATATCTTCTTACTTTTCGACGATGTTGCGGCGGCCCAATCAACGCTGAATAGCCTGTCTACAGTGGTCCCATTATTTGGTTCGCGCTCCTCACCTTCAAAGTGCAAAGTGTTGCTGCGGGACCACCTGCCACTTGGTTACCCCTTGACCCTTGATAACGAGGAACTCGAGGTGGTTGATCGATTCACTTACCTTGTCAGCTGCATCAGGAACGATGAGCGTATAGAAACTGAAGTCAGTTCACACATTTCAAAGTCAGAACAGCCTTCTTGTACGTGCGGCATCTTTGGCGACAGAACGGAGTTTCTCTCAGTCCGCAAGACCGTGTATACAAGGTCACAGTGAGGGCCGTCCTACTCTATGGTAATGAATCTTGGCCCCTTCCGTCTGAAGATCTGAGTCACCATTAAGTCTTTGCTCATCGTTGTCTGCGAAACATTGCTAGTGTCGGATGGCACTGGCGTGGCCGCAACGATGGTATGCGTAGGCGAGTACTAGGTAGTGATGAGCATGCTAGCTCCTTAGAACAACATATAGCACTGAAAGCCAAATTCGTAAGGAGCCGGGTTTCGTCGTGTTCGGGATGCATCGACCACATCTTCACTTTGCGTCAATTGTTGGAGGACCGTCACACATATTGGCGGCCCACTGTTGTCCTGTTCCTCAATATCAAAGGTACCTTCGATTCGGTTGATCGATTTGCCTTTTGGTACTGTCTACCCAGTAAAGGTGTGCCCGCGAAATAGGTACATATTATCCGATCATTATACGCGCGTAGCACGGGCAGAGTGAGGGCTTACGGCGCGCTCTTGCTGCCCTTCAGTATCTCCAGTGGTGTGAGACAAGGATGCCCACTGTCAAC